TTTGTTTCTTTGAAAAATATAACCTTAATAATGTGATGCACCAGAAAATGCATTGTTAACATAAAACAGATATTTTTTTGGGATGTTTTTTAGATGAAGTATTTCTAGCTTCAAGTACATGGAAGTGTCTGTATTTGTAAGAACTGGTTTTGCTGAAATAATGATTTGACAGTTTTCCTAATTATTGTTAATAGCTCATATTGAAGCTCTTTTGGCCTAAAGGTGGTTTAAACATGGTTTGAGTGCTGATATCACAACAAAATATGTGACCTTTTGACTTTATTCCCAAGCTAGCACTGTCACTAACACAAATGTTTACATGTGTGATGTTGTTAGGTATTATTACATTTTATGTGTGTGTATGTGTGTATATATATATATATATATATATATATATATATATATATATATATATATATATATATATATTATGCAAGTTATTGCAAACCCACAAAGAAAAATTGCAAGCAGTGTCTATACATTCAGTTACACACTCCAAACATAATCTCAAACTTTTCAGAATCAGAAACGCAATAACTTTATTTTACCAAGAATATAACAGACACACACACAAGCAATTAGTTTTGGTGAGTCACATGTATGATATGGAACACAATGAACAAACCAGACAAGCATACAGACTTAACAAGTATTAAACTAAGAGAAAAAAATAGATTAGAGAATAATAAAGAACAATAAAGAGCCATGAACAAGTTCAAGAGATTTATGAATATCTGAATATATGTAGATATGAATATCATTACATAGACAGGTCTGAGTAAACATATTACAACAATTATGTACAGAATGTTACAGTATGATATGAAAATTTATAAAGATTAACATTTGTCAGCTGTGTAAATAAGAATTATATTACAGATGATTTTATTGTAATACAATAAAAAGGTTTGTTTGTTCAGTTTCAGTGTAAAGTTTGAGTGTCCACTGTGGTTCATGAGCTTCGCAGCTCTTGGGAAAAAGCTGTAAGCATGTCTGGCTGTGCTGGTTTTGATGGCCCTGAATTTTCTACCAGAAGGGAGTGTCTGGAGGAGCTGATGTCCAGGATGAGAGGGGTCAGCTGTAATTTTATCAGCACTCTTCATTAGTCTGCTGTTGTAGATGTCCTGATGCGTTGGCAGATATATCCAATGATCCTTTCCGCTGTTCTGATTATGCTCAGGGGTTTGGCTCATTCTTGTGAGATGGAGGAACCAAACCAGATGGTTATGGATGATATGAGGATGGACTTGATGATCGCAGTGCAGAACTGGATCATCAGGCTCTGTGGCAGGTTAAATTTATTTTTAACCTTCCTTCTGTCTCAGGAAGAACATTCTCTGCTGTGCTCTCTTGGTTATGGAGACCATGTTCCTCTCCCACAGGAAACCATAGAGCTGTTGATGTGGAGGGGAGGTAGAGAGGGGGTTTTTTCATGAAATCCAACACCATCTTTACAGTCTTTTGTATGTTAAACAGCAGGTGGTTGCTGCTGTAGTAGAAGACCAGCTTCTCAACTTCCTTTCTGTAGGCAGACTCAGCACTATTGACTATAAGGCCCACCATGGTGATGTTGTCTGCAAACTTGAGGAGCTATACAGCTAGTTCCTAATAAACAGTCATCAGTGTAGAGACCAAAGAGAAGGGTTGACCTTGTGGTACTCCAGTACTGAGGGCCTAAGGGTCTGACATGTGTTTTCCAAGCTGCACCTGCTGTCTCCTGTTTGTCAGGATGTCCATCATCCACAGACAGCTGGGATAGTTTGACCTGCAGCAGCTCGGGCACTATGGTGCTGAAAGCCAAGCTGGAGTCCCCAAACAAAACTTTTACGTAGGTTCCAGGTCTGTCGAGATGCAGGGCCAAGCTGACCACATCATTAGCAGACCTCGAACTGCAGAAGATCTGAAGGCCTTCATATGGGCTAGGACCAGGCATTCAAAGACCTTCATGAGTACATACAGGACAGGGCTACTGTAGTCTTTTAGTCTAGTAATCTTTGATTTTTGGGGGTCTGGAATGATGGTAGATGTTTTGAAGCAGGGAACAGAGCAAAGTCCCAGTAATTTGTTAAAGATGTTGGTAATAAATCAGTGCTAGATGATCAGAGCAGTGCTTTAAAGTGGATGGTGAAAGGCCCAGTCCCATTTCAACCCTTGCCCCTGCCACTTGGTCTTCCTTCTCCATTTTAGGTATTCATGCCAAGGGGTAAGGTGTCCTGAGTTTTTTTTTGAGAGGGCAAGGGTGAAGCAATAGGGCTCCATGACCATCCAAATGGAGGTTTTTCAGAAGCACACTCCAAATGGAATAAAAGGAAAACGGGCAAGATGGCCGCACAAGCGACAAAAGAAACCCACAAATCTAAGTATTTTCTCTTTTAGAAAATTACAATAACCATTGTATTATTTTAGTTTAATGTTGTTTTAGTGCATCATGGTCCTTTTGTTCATAACAAGCATAAAAAACTGCTACTACTATGTTGATGTCACTGTAGCTAGCTAGCTAAATTTCCTGTTCCACTTTAACGCTTAGAACCCTAGGGTAATTTGAAGTAATTGGTATTTGGGTCAATTACAAATTAGGTCGCAGTCAGGCATTTAAATAGGGCATTTAAGTGAATATAAATGCAGGATCTGAATGGTGGTTTTCTGAACTTGATTACTGGCTGAATCTTCACTGAACCTCCATAAAGTTACTCTGGACACACAGTGTAAGTCCTGCTGGTCAATGTGATTGTGCATTGCATCGCTGCTTTAACCTTTTTGTTGTCATATGAAGGCTAAGGCAGAGAGCTAATAGCAGGGTTTACAGTGGTTATGGCGGTGTTTGGTGCTGTATTTCTGGGTTGTCGGATGTTAGAGCTGGTTTCTCTCACTCTGGCTTGTGATGGCAGGTTCTGCTGAGTGTTCTGAGTGTTTGTGCATCATGTCATTTTTTTTAACCCTTCAGTGAAGTGGACCACAGAGGCTGAAACTGTCTTCAACCTCCAAAAACACCACCTGACCACCGAACCTATTCTGCATAATCCAGACTTCAACTGACCCTTCACAGTCCAGACCGATGGTCGTGGATGGGTACTGACCGAAGATTTTGACGGTGAGGGGCATCCGGTGTTATATATCAGCCACAAGCTTACCCCCGCAGAACAATGCTATGCCACTCTGGAACATAAAGCCCTGGCCGTCAAATGTGCCATTGACGAGCTACGGTATTACCTAACTGGTAGGCCCTTCATTTTAATCACTGATCATGCGCCTTTGCAATGACTAAAGACTCTAACCCATGTGTCACCAGGTGATTTCTGGCAAATACTAAGACAGTGATAGAGGATAGAGGAACAAGACTACAATCAGGACCAGAAACAGGAGCTAAAGATATTTCCACACCCAGGATAGATTCTGTGCTCCTTTTGTGGAAAGGCTTATTATCATAGGTTTATTTTTAAGAAAGGGAATTTCTTCCAAACCACAACTTTCAGGATATCAACTTGGAAGATTATATGGAAGAGTGCCACCCTGAGTGCTAAGATGTTGCAGAGTGGCACTGCTTGCAGGTATCGCTTCACCATCCAAAGTCCTGCCATTGACTCCACCCACTTGTCACACACTCAACAGCCCTTATCTCACATATTCATCTAATGCGGGTCCCATCCTCAAGCAGCTCATTTACTAACCCCCAAATCTTTGGCAAACTGCTCCACCAAATCAGAGGATGAGATATGCAAGGACTAACTACCGTTATACCACTATTTACCACTATATATAGCACTTCTCTCCACGAGGATCAATAAATATAGCAGATATTTGTGAATCACCCAACCTGATATACCTTCTTCAATGCCATATCTTGAACCAAGCTTTGGTGCATTGTGATCTGATTACAGTCTGAATCCATTAAGGCTTGATATGCCTTTTGGACACCCACAGGTATGCTGTATCCTTGATCAGGGTAAATTAGTGGCACTGCAGGTACCAAATCCATCATCCCTACTTTCGTAACTGAGACTAATCTTGGAATTGCCTGGACATCAATTACCAGCAGGTCGAATTTTGGATAACAGCCATCCTCAATATGAGAGCCAGAGCTGCTGCACATAGATGAAGGGTCTGCCAAACGGACTGAATATCAGCATCCTGAAGCACAGCTGAAGGATGGCTTTCTTTTGGCTGTCATACTCCAGCTGCTTTTACAGCTGCTGGGACACTAGCTTGGCTACTCCAGACAGGTCCAGGAGAAAGCAGACCCCCTACTTCTCCTTTGGAAAGCCACAAGCACCCCAGCTTTCTCAAAGAGCTACACAAATGCTTTGTGAGGTTGATATAGGTTGCAGCTGGAGTGCTGAAGGCTGCAGAAAGCAGCTTTCCTCAGTCTGTCATACGTAGATAGTTGGACAACTGAAAATAACTTTTGGTTGACTTCTGGAAACGAACTATTTATGTCTAGATCTCTTCGGCTTAAGGTAGACAACTTAAATGCAGACTTATGCAGTAAATGAGTTAATTATAGATGTCTGGATGTGTTATCGAGGACAACACCTCCTATCAAGGTTTTTTTCTTTATCTTGATTTGGGAGTCACAATTATCATTAACCGCATACAAATGATCTGTTACAGGAACAGAACTTCAACCAGGATCAAGAACAGAATATTCTATTTATCAGACTATAATAATCAAAGAAATGTATTAACTATACATCACCAAGAAGTAATACCAATTTTCCTCACATAATCCAGTGGATGTGCAGTGTTGCAATAGAAACAAAGGTGGGCTGGGCTAGAGAATCGTCACTTAGTCAGTAAACATTTAAACGTCACTATTTGAGAAAGTATAAATACACACAAACCCATTTTCCTCACCACAGCCTGACTGTAAGGCTGCAGTTCATCATTGCTTATAATTTCTAGTAGATGATACCTGATTGAAGTAGAATGCCACTGTGACCAGCATCAGATCTTACAGACTAATCTAATATGTTAGAGATTTATGGGTTACTTCATGGGAACTCATGGACAATTCTTCTAAAGTTATGTACTTGTTTCTGGAGGGGCATGTAGAACTGCATAAACACAGATATGTTTACTTTATAATTACTCTCATAGTCTATACATTGATTATTTGTGTTAATACTGTTGTTATTTTTGTCATTTACACAAATAAATGTCTCCATGAGCCGATGTACATTTTCATTGCTGCTTTACTTTGCAATTCTCTTTTTGGAACAACTGCCCTTTATCCTAAACTGCTGAGTGATTTTCTGTCTGAAACACAAGTCACTTCTTACTCAGCCTGTCTGTTTCAGGCCTTTTCTATTTACACATATGGGGCTTCAGAGTTCACACTCTTATCAGCTATGGCCTATGACAGATATGTGTCCATATGTAAACCATTACAATATGCAACACTTGTAAAAATGTCCACTGTGAAAAAGATCTTATTGTGCTGTTGGTTTGTTCCAGCCTGTGTAGTTGGCACATCCATAATACTAACATACCAACTTCAGTTGTGTAAATTTCATTTAGACAGAATTTACTGTAATAACTATGCAATTGCTAAATTAAGTTGTGGAGACACATCTGTTACCAAATCATATGGATTGTTTGGTTTAACTCTTGCTGTATTTCCACCAGTGATCTTCATAATCTATTCATATGTTAGAATACTTGATGTCTGTTTAAAGAACTCAAAAGAGTTCAGGAGAAAAGCTCTGCAGACCTGCTTCCCACACCTTATTATTTTCATCAGTTTCTCTTTCACCTCCTGTTTTGAAGTGATCAACACCAGATTTGAAGGAAATGTACCTCATATTATTTCTGTGATGGTGTCAGTTGAAAATTTGGTCATTCCTCCTCTTATTAATCCTATTATGTATGGTTTGAAACTACAAGAGATTTACAGTAAAATCAAGAGAATTATGTGGAAAAGTAAGACTCATACATCTTTTTAAATGTTTTCTTTAAAAACTATACATGATTCTGTTTATGCTGTATGCTATGAGATCCCATTTGATGAGATTTTATTAATGTATTTTATCTTGTTTATTTCCCAACAAAATGTTGAACAAAATGTTAAACATTTACATTTAAATCAGCACACAGTACCACTGCATACAAAACTAAAATAATATATACTTTGCCCATTAAAAACAATAAGACTGTTGTGCAGTGTGGGCTCCTCACTTTATTTGGATTCAGTAAGAAAGCCATGTAACTTTAAAAAAAAAGACTACCAGTGAACTTTAAGCCTATATCTATAAACATACAAAGGTATGCTTTAGCCTTTCATCACAGCTTGAAAGTACACCCAGCTACTTATCATACACCTAATCTGTATAAAATCACAGGATTAAACTTTTAAATGATATATTTTAGAAAAACATTGTGTTTGAGCTTTCAAATGTGTTCTGTTAATTTAAGGGCATGAGGTCCACCACATTACTCAGAGGGCTGAACTGACTGTAAAAACATGATTCCAAAAACAAATTAACAAATAAACCATAAACTGAACTGTAAGATTCAGACACAATAAGATTCTCAAACTTCTGCCAGGTCAGTGAGGTGAGATTACTCTACTCTAACACAAGGGCATATGGTCATAGGTTTACAGTATTAGGTTTTGAGTGTTTTACAGTAGATTAGTTACTTAGATATGTTCCCACTCCAGCATCATGAATTGAATACTAAAAAATGTGAAACATATTTTTTAACTCTGTAGCAACTGATTTGCAGCAAATAGTTACAGCATTGTATCAAAGTCAAAACTAAAAACAGCTGCCATTAAGTTACTCTTAAAAAGGAGAACTCTGGATGTTTCCGTGTTAAACTACAGACCTGTCTCAAATCTGCCTTTCATATCTAACATCAATGAGACCTTTAACTGCAATTTTCTGAACTCCAGTGGTTATTTTGATAATATCAGTCAGGCTTCTGACCTCAACACAGCACTGAAACTGCTTTAAATTTAAAAAGTGTTAAATGATATATGGCTGAATGCTGACTCAAGTGAAATATCAGTTCAGTTTTTACTAGATCTCAGTGCTGCATTTGATACTGAAGATCATATAATACTGCTGAACAGGTTGGAAAATTGGGTAGAGAGGTCCAGAACAGTCCTTAATTGGTTCAGGTCTTAGAAGGCCAGTGTATCTTTGTCACTGTTGGCAGTTCAAGTTCAAGAAGCTTTATTGTCATTTTAGCTCTATACAAGTGCACAGTGAAATGAAACAACAATCCTCCAGGACCAACACAGGAACACAAGTGCAAAACAATATAATACACAGTGCAGATAATACAGTGCAATAAATACGAAAAAAACCTATAATAAATACAAAACACAGGCAGTACACAGTACTGAGAGTAAGTGGAGCTGTGCAAAGGAGGATGCAACATACTATGACATATTAGCAGATTAGCAGATAGCCTAGCATATATGAGCATAGCAGTCACTGAGGTAGCAACCAGAACAGCAATGGAATACAGTATTTGGTTGATACAGTATTCTAGCAGCCAATATTGGTAAAGTGTGCAAAAATGCAAATAGATATAAAAGTTAATAGATAGATACAAACCGGATTCCAAAAAAGTTGGGACACTAAACAAATTGTGAATAAAAACTGAATGCAATGATGTGGAGGTGCCAACATCTAATATTTTATTCAGAATAGAACACAAATCACAGATCAAAAGTTTAAACTGAGAGAATGTATCATTTTAAGGGAAAAATATGTTGTTTCAAAATTTCATGGCGTCAACAAATCCCAAAAAAGTTGGGACAAGGCCATTTTTACCACTGTGTGGCATCCCCCCTTCTTCTTACAACACTCAACAGACATCTGGGGACAGAGGAGACCAGTTTCTCAAGTTTAGAAAATAGGAATGCTCTCCCATTCATGTCTAATACAGGCCTCTAACTGTTCAATCGTCTTGGGCCTTCTTTGTCGCACCTTCCTCTTTATGATGCGCCAAATGTTCTCTATAGGTGAAAGATCTGGACTGCAGGCTGGCCATTTCAGTACCCGGATCCTTCTCCTACGTAGCCATGTTGTTGTGATTGCTGCAGAATGTGGTCTGGCATTATCTTGTTGAAAAATGCAGGGTCTTTCCTGAAAGAGATGACGTCTAGATGGGAGCATATGTTGTTCTAGAACCTGAACACAGTTCTCTGCATTAATGGTGCCTTTCCAGACATGCAAGCTGCCCATGCCACAAGCACTCATGCAACCCCATACCATCAGTGCTGCAGGCTTCTGAACGGAGCGTTGATAACAACTTGGGTTATCCTTGTCCTCTCTGGTCCGGATGACATGGCGTCCCAGTGTTCCATAAAGAACTTCAAATCGTGACTCATCTGACCACAGAACAGTCTTCCATTTTGCCACACTCCATTTTAAAAGACCCCTGGCCCAGTGCAAACGTCTGAGCTTGTGGAGCTTGCTTAGAAATGGCTTCCTCTTTGCACTGTAGAGTTTCAGCTGGCAACGGCGGATGGCACAGTGGATTGTGTTCACTGACAATGCTTTCTGGAAGTATTCCTGAGCCCATTCTGTTATTTCCTTGACAGTGGCATTCCTGTTTGAGGTGCAGTGACGTTTAAGGGCCCGGAGATCACGAGCATCCAGTAGAGTTTTACGGCCTTGACCCTTACGCACAGCGATTGTTCCAGATTCTTTGAATCTTTTGATGATGTTATGCACGGTTGATGATGATAACTTAAAAGTCTTTGCTATTTTATCTTTCTGCGCAACAATGGTGGAATTGGTGATCCTCTTACCATCTTGGCTTCAGAGAGACACTGACACTCTGAGAAGCTCTTTTTATACCCAATCATGTTGTCAGTTGACCTAATTAGTGTTAATTGGTCTTCCAGCTGTTCGTTATATGCTCAATTTCCTTTTTCCAGCCACTTATTGCTACTTGTCCCAACTTTTTTGGGATTTGTTGATGCCATGAAATTTTGAAACAACATATTTTTCCTTTAAAATGATACATTCTCTCAGTTTAAACTTTTGATCTGTGATTTGTGTTCTATTCTGAATAAAATATTAGATGTTGGCACCTCCACATCATTGCATTCAGTTTTTATTCACAATTTGTTTAGTGTCCCAACTTTTTTGGAATCCGGTTTGTAGATTAGTCATATCAAGTAACATATTTCAGTGAAATGCAATAATTATATTTAAATCCAGTGTCACAGACTTAATCTGGAACTGCAAGATGTGGAGAGTGAGATGGTCTCTCATTGATGGAGGGAAAAGAGACCCTGATGATCTTTTCAGCTGTCCTCACTATTCGCTGGAGGGTCTTGCGGTCGGAGGCAGTGCAATTCCCAAACCAGGCAGTAATGCAGCTGCTCAGGATGCTCTCTGTAGTGCCTCTGTATACAGTGGTAAGGATGGTGGGTGGGAGATAAGCTTTCCTTAACTTCCTCAAGAAATAGAGACATTGCGGGGCTTTCTTGGTTATGAAGCTGGTGTTCAGGGTCCAGGTGAGGTTTTCTGCTAGGTGAACACGAAGAAACTTGGTGCTCGCAATGATCTCCACAGGGGAGATGTTGATGATGAGTGGAAAGTGGTCACTCTGTGATCTCCTGAAGTCCACAACCGTCTCCTTTGTCTTATCCACATTCAGATATAGATTGTTGACTTTGCATCACTCTGTCAGTCGCCGCACCTAGTCGTTGAGGCAAGAAGCTGGTGATTTCTTCGGCATGGGGACATACGTAGTGGCCTTGAAGCATGCTGGAAAAATGGTGCTGCTTAGTGTTGTTTATTAAGTAGCGATGATGTGAAGATGATGAAGAAGTCTCCTCTGACACCGCATTACTTGCATAAGATGTTTATTACAAAGTAAAATGGTATCATATCAAGCACTATAAAGTACCTGAGAGAGGATCCATGCCAATTGTGTCCCCTCCAAAACAGAATAAACCAGCTGCTTATATAGGGTGCTTGTTGTTGAAAAAGCAAACTGAACATATGGCCCTTTTTAAATTGATCTCATCTATGTGGAACTAAGACCTTTGGAACAGGGGGCCCCTTTAACGTAAACATTCCAAAACCCTGCAAGACAGATAACTCAGACTTCAGACACCTCATATTCCCCCCTTCGAGGCTTCCACAAAGTCTCGAAAAACAAAAAGGTAACACATGCATATTTGCGGTTGTAACAAAATAACAGGTCCTCCTACACATGCTTCCTACAGCATAACCTTAGCAATGCAACAACTTTCTGGAGTGTGAGAGCGAAAAAACCTGTCAGGCTGCTATCATTCCTGAAATGTCCATCAAACAATCTAGACAGGAAAAATTCACTCACGGCCCCTCTGCCCTAGGCAACCACATAGAATACTCCAGACCACTTTAAAAAGGAGGAATTTTGACAAATTGTATAGAAATATGACTTAAGCAAATACATATGGAAACCTCAGAAAATAAAATCAAAACAATGTCCACATTCAGGCTGGTCAACCCATCGGACCTTCCAATGGACCTTTCCCTGCCTAACACCAATATCCTTAAACTCCCAAAAAAAAAGAAAAAAACATCTGAGGTCCCAGTGTACTTACCCCATAACAGAAAACATCAGTCTTCAATCAATTAAAACCCAAGAAAATGTTATACATTTAAGTACTACTCATACAGTAAACAACTCATACACTCAATCAAACTAATGTCTTACTAAGATTATCACTACCTTATAAATGTCCTCTATCAATATCACCCATTACAACAAAATCCAATACTATGCAAATATATATGAAGACATAAAAATGTATCACACTGCAGCTCCTCAACAGCGTCGACTCTCAATGTAGCGTCGATGATGTGTTGACTCTGGGCATTGTATCACAGTGTCCTTATTCAAAGTCCTTTAGTCCAGTCTTATTGTCCATGCACATCGGGGTCCCAGAACGTCCAACCATCCTTATAGTGGTCTTCCCCCAGCATCG